ATAGAAGATAGGTGGATAACTAAGATAACACATGTCATTCCTTACATGCTAAAGGAGTTATCACATTATACTCCGGTGAATGTCTACTTAAGAATTTGTAACCACGGTAAGAGTATACCAATGAGCATGATTGGTTTACTTGAGAGTTAAGACGTTTGGAGATCGAATAAAACTTATATGATCATAATCAAAGAGAAGCAAAGAATTATGAAGAAAATGGGAATTGAAATAATTAATTTCAATTCTTTAAGCATCGAGAGAATTCGAGGGTAATTTAGGAAAATTTTTCTAAATTGGCTTACCTAAAATACTTGGACCCAACTTATTTATATGGTTCATCTATTATTGAGTCATTGGGTCGAAGGTGTTAGGCCTATAGGCTTAAATGAAAACCTATAAGAGGTATTTTAAGAAGAGGGGTATTTTTGAGAATTTTTAGAGAAAAGTACATTAAAACATAAATAAAGGTTTTTATAAATAAATATGCATCAAGCCACCCTTTGGAATAAATCCAAGGTTAGTCGAATCCCTCAAAAAGTAAAAGTGAAATTTTCTTCATTGTTCAAGCAAAATGGAGCTAGCATTCTTGGATTTTTACCTCTCTTGTGTTGGTATCCAAAGCTACGTGGATTATCACTAAAGACCGGATACTTGAACGATTCAATCCAAAACCTCATGTCTTTGCTTTAAGAGGTCATGATTGAAACTTCTTATTATAATTATTTGATTAAAAAATGATCTTGTGATTTTAGATCGGAGGAAAACAATAAGTTATTTTTTATTCTACTCCTCCACGACAAGTTTTTTTTCTTTTCAAATTTATCTCTTAAGCATTAAATGATTATTTGTTATCTATTAGAATAAATATTGAACAACTCGTTACTCATGTTCATAATCAGAATGGTTTAGCAGAATCATTTATAAAAATGCTCTAATTGATAGTTAGACCATTACTTATGGAAACAAAACTCCTCTCTTCAATTAGTTTCGGTTATGAACTAAATATTTCTCATCTAAGAATTTTTAAGCTGTGTAGCATATGTCCCTATTGGTACCTCACAATGAACTAAAATGAGCTTTCAAAAGAGATTGAAAATATATATTGGATATGAATCTCATTTGATAATTAAATATCTTGAACCATTAATAAAAGATATTTTTACACCTCGATTTACATTGTTTTTTGATGAAACGAGTATTTCAATATTAGCATGAGAGAATAAGCAAAATAAGTTGTTAAAAAAGTTAGAATAAGAGATTATATGGAGTAATCCATCTTTACATCATCTTAATCCTCATACAAAATAATTTGAACTAGAAGTTTAAAAGATAATTCATTTATAAAGTATTGAAAACCAACTACCAAATGCATTTTTAAATCCAAAAAGAGTAATTAAAATGCATGTTCCTACCGAGGATGCTCATATTAGAATTCATATTCTAGAAGGACAATATATTAATATTATAGAAATGAATCTAAAACACGTACGAAGCGTGAAAAATCAATTAGTTCTAAAGATACAAATTCTTAAAAAAAAGGCAAATAGTCAAGATGAAAATATAAAGAAAGCAAATATTTAAAAAATTATCCAAGATATTTCTAATAATAAGGTTTCGAAGAAGTCCAAATGCTTGAGAAAAATCAAGAGACATCGATAAATTATGTTAATATACAAAAAAAGAACATTTATTGATAAAATTTTTCATATAATATTATAATTGGTATTTTAAATGAAAATAAGAATCTAAAAATCTATTGAAAAATATCAACATAGTGATGATTGGCTTAAATGAAAAGATCAATCCCGATAAAATCATATTTTTTTATAAAAATGAGTAGTTTTTGAACCCATAATCAAAACATCCGTAGATGTTAAGCAAGCAAGATACAAACAAGTATTTGTTGAAAATGAAATAAGAAAGATAAGATTGTGAGATATAAAGCAAGACTTGTAACATAATAGTTTTTACAAAGACGTGATATTAACTATAAGAAGGCATATTCTTTTATAATTGATGCAATTACACTTCGTTATCTCATTAGCTTGAAAACATATATGTACAAAAAATTTATATGCATGCCTTTAATAGATGTGATTAGAATTTATTTATTCACTTAAAATGATATTTATATGAAATTCTTAAAAAGACTTAAAATGCTTGAAATATGTAATACGCATTTCTAAAAAATATATATTTAATTAAATTATAGATATCTTTATAAGAATTATTTTATCATTTTTTTATTATTTTGGTTTTTATAAATTTGATTTATGATATATTTTTATATTTATTGTTTATTTTTTAATATACGCTCTTTATAGTTAATGCAGGTGCATGTGATATAATCGCCTCAATAAATATTTATTGAAAAAAGGTCTAACAATACCTGTTTTTATAAAGAAATCCAAAAAAAAGTTTTTGATAATTATTATATATGTTAATGATTAAAATATTATTAAAAATCTTGAAGAGATTGTAATGTCATACGTTATCAAAAAAGAGGATTTGATATGAAATACCTTAGAAAAATTTTTTTTTATCTCGACTTGTAGTTTGAGCAATTAAATAATGAGATTTTTATTCATCAATCATCTTATATAAAAAAATTTCTACAACGTTTCTATGGATATAGCTCATCCATTGACTAACCCAATAGTAGTTCGTTCATTTGATATCCAAAAGAATCATTTTTTACCTCAAGAAGATAACGAATAACTACTTAGTTTTGTAGTACCATATCTTAGTGCAATTGGTGTATTGATATATCTTGCTAATAATACTCGATCCGATATAACTTTTTTTTATAAATTTATTAGCAAGATATAGTTCTACTTTAATACAAAGATATTAGAATAGAATTAAACTTAGACTATGTTATCTCCGAGGAAAAATTAATATGATATTTCTTTTACTTAAATGAATCAAAGTCGGGTTTAATTAGTTATGCGGATGCAAATTATTTATCCGATCCATATAAAGCTCGATCACAAACAGAGTGTGTATTTACATATAGTGATATAGTTATATCATGATGTTTTATAAAGCAAATTATAGCTATTACATATTCAAATCATGCAAAAATACTAACAATTCATGAGACTAATCGAGAATATGTTTGGCTAAGATTAATGATCGATCATATCTCGAAAGACATGCGATTTATCCACTAGGAAAAGGAAGTTACAACGAGTATTATATAAAGATAAAGCTACTTATGTAACTTAATCAAATGAAGGATACATCAAAATAATAATCCGATAAATTTATTCACTATGGCATTACCTATCATAACTTTTTTTTAAAATGATTCATAATATTGATATGTGTCGTCTCATAGATTTTAAATAAATCTTTCAATAAAGAGCTCGATATGAGGATTAATGTGCAAAGAAATATTGAACTCCATTGCATTTTTTTCTAGTAAGATTTTTAGGAGACATATGTTTTGTATGATAGATTTTCAAGGAGAAGTGTTATGAGATAATGAATATCCATGACCATTCTTATTTCCACTAAAAATCATATTGTTTAATGAGATTCAATTTATCATTGTCATAACCGAATTTTCGATCACTCAAAATTAATTAGGTTTAATTTCTCTATTTCATTTTATTATTATTATTATTATTTTAGTATTTGAAAAGGGAAAATCAAAATAGTAATAATAAAATGCATAAATTAAAAAAAAATAGGTGGATAAATGCGGTCAAAGGGCACGATTGCCTTAAATCAATTCTAAATTGGAAGCTAATAAGGGCTAAACTGAAAAAAAAAATCAAGACAAAATTAAGAGCCTAATTGAAAAGAAATCAAAGATACAATTGAAATTAGGAAAATGGAAGGAATGTTTTATATTTTGACAAACGAAATAGTGAATGAACATTCATTATTTCATTCAAATTCTACAAATCGAAAACTAGATCTTAGTTTTTCCCATGATTTTGTCCCAACCAGACTCATCTATCATTCTCCTCTACTTAGGCTCGTAAGATATGTTACAATGAGAACCAAAAATGCAAAACGTTAAGAGAAGAAAAACAATAAGAATGGTGGAGTTGTCACTCATACCAAAAGCTATCACATGGCCAAAAATGCAAGAGAGGAATAAGGATTGTAATTGATAGCATGAGAATGTGTATAAAAAAAGACATGGGGGAGAAAAATAAAATGGGGAATATTTTTGGATTTTTTAGTAGCTGTATTTTTCAGGTAGTTCTTGGTGTTTTTCATTTTTGGGTTTTTGTTCTTCAACTATTTGACTATTTAATTCATTCTTTTGGGCTTTTCTAGGTTTCATTTTGAATTTCATAGGTTATTTAATTTGATTTTCTACTTTTTAGGATTTAATTGGAACAACCTTGGTTTTTCCACTATAATTTTCTAGGCGGTGTTCTTGGTGTTTTTCATTTTCTACGTTTGGTTTTTTAAGCTTTTGGGTTCCATTTCATTTTCCGAGTTTTCATTCAAACTTTTTGGGCGGTTGTTCTTCATTTTTGTAAGACTTTTACATCTTGAGTTTCGGGCAACTTGAATTTCCGGGTTTTCCTTTCATTTTTCTAGGTTTCACGATTGAGCATTCTAGGTAGAGTTCTTCATTTTCTAGGTTTCATAATTTTGTTTACATACTTCAAATTCTGGTCAATCATAAGCCAATAACAACAACAACAACAACAACAACAACACCAAGATCTCCATATCTAAACTAATCTCTTACTCATTTTGATTTCATATGTACTAGGGTTGTTGAATTTAAATCATCGCCATGTTGAGCCCCTGCTATTCAACTTTAAATGGAAGCTAGGTTATAGGAAGATTGTAGGAAGGATGAATGCTTATGGTAAGGATTTTATGACTAAGAGGGAAGAAATAATTTTTTTTGTTCTTGATAAGAGGCGAGAAAAGATGAACGACGAGAGGGAGAAAGGGTCGCTTGATTGAAAACAAAAAAAAAAGGAACTAAGATTATGTTTTTGGACTCGATCTAAGAAAAAAGAAATATGGGTTAGGCTACACTGCATAAAGGTTGGGTTGGTTTCGGTCTAGCCCAAACCCAACCAAAAAAGAAAGAGTAAGACTAGCTAGAACTAGTCTAGCTAGCTAAGAAGGAAAAAGGGGTCGCTAGCTCAATGGGCTTGGCCTAATGGGTCAAGGGCCCAATAAAAGTTTTTTTTTAATATGCTTTGATTTCATATTTTTTTTAAGATAATTTGAATCTAAATATTTTTTTTTACTTATGTATGCATTTTTATTTCCTACATTAATTTAGATTTAATTTTTAGATGATGTGGAATCTATTTAGTTAACTTTAATTTTTAGAACTTATTCGAGTAATTAGGCTAGGTAATTAATTGATGAATGAATTATCGAGTCTCCTAATTTTTAGGGACTCATGATGATTTTTCATCAATAAATAATAAATAAAGATAATAATGCAAAAAAAAAAAATAGAAAAAAAGAATTTTAGAAAAAAATTAATTAAAATTCTTAACGAAATCTTCTATTTGATAGGAATTGTCATTAACAAAATAAAAAAGAAATTAAAATTCTTAACAAAGTCTCATATATGATAGAGATCTGTTGTAAGCAAAAAAATTAATTAAAATTAAAAATTTTTAACGAAATCTCCTCTATGAGAAAAGGGCTACTAGCTCAATGGGCCTACCCTAATAAGTCAAGTGCCCAATAAAAGTTTTTTTTATATGCTTTGATTTCATGTTTTCGGATTGTAGACATTAGCCCAACATAAGTGGGGAAAAGGGTCGAGATAAAGAGTTGCCACCTAGCTAATCACGAAGAACTAGAAAACCTTAAACATACTCGTTTTACATGGATATCCGAGTAAGGGGTTGATAACGTATGGAAAAGACATGACGTCATCACCATTCCGTCCTACCTAAGATAGGCTACATTAGTTGTCTATGAATAGAAAAATCTAACTTTTGTTTTGTTATGCTTCTATGCCTATTCATGTGAATTTATTTGATAAAATTATGAGACGAGATGGTTTAATTATGAAACGAGGATGTTCGGGCGTTCGAGTCGGTCCAAGGCCAATACACCTTACCCAAATGGGAAAAAGATAAAAAAAATTAGAATTTTAACTAATCATTAGTGAACATGACCTATTATCGAAAAATAGATGAGTTTTTAAAGATAAATAGCCTTTTCGTTGGTATAAGCTATGTGTCACCGACAACTTCACTCATACAAGTGGGAAGCCGCGATGACTTCGAGTCATAAATATAAGAAGCTACCGACAACTTCGTCACGAGTTGGAAAGTCACCAGCAACTTCATATCGCTCAAGTAACGAGCAAATGATCGCTTTGAACAATCGATGATGGCTTCATCACATAAGTGAAGCTACCGACGGCTTATTATCGAACATGCAAATAAATAAAAAATATTTTGAAGCTTTCTAACGACTTCGTCACATAAGTGAAAAGCTATCGATGGCTTATTTTCACACATGTAAATAATTAAAAAAATAATTTGAAGCTCTCCGATGGCTTCATCACATAAGTGAAAAGCTACCGACGACTTTGTTTTAATGAAATAAGCAATAAAACCTAAAAACGTGATAGTAAACAAAAATCAAGAAAAATAAGAATCAAACACCATACAAAATGATTTCGAAACAACCGATGGCTTCGTCACATAAGTGGGGAAGCCATCGGTAGCTTTTGTATGTCATTGCAATCAATCATAGATAATCAATTAAATCATAAAATAGCATAAATGTTGGGTTTAAACAGGTAGGCATGATAACAAGCAATCAAACATTATATCGATCATTGCAACACTTTTTCATTTTAATCGCATTCAATCAATAAATATGGAGCTAAACAACATAATTTTAGACACATTCTAAATGCACCGGTCATTTTTAACATTTATTATGTTTTCCAAAATGTCATGGTTTTAGGATTTTTTACCCAAAAGTCCCGAAACATCGATATTCAAAGTCGATCCTACCCTCTTCGTTCTCAATGATAATCGAATATTCAATTAGCCAAGAAAGGAGGGTAATTATGGGTTGGTAATATCGAGGCGAGTACTACTAGGATGGCCAAAAAAATCTTCCTTTTACTCAAAGGTACCGCAAAATTTGTAAGGTTGTTGAAAGCTCCAGTGAATTCGTAGCTTGTTTTCCTATCAAGAAAATTAAGCAAATGCGAGTTTACAATATTTTGTTATTCCCGCCAACACAAAAAAAATTTGGTCTTTTTTTTTTACGTTTATTTCCTCGTTTTCAATTACACAAAAATAGAGTGTTCGGGGGGTTATTTTGAGAGGGGTTTTGGTGGGTATTTTAGGAGTTTTTTTTTTTTGTGGTTTTGAAGCTGGTTTGGGATTGTTTTGGGCCAATTTTGGTGGCTCGAATGGATTGTTCGAAGGGTTGCTCTGTAAGGGTTTTTGGAGGCTCGTTGGTAATGGTTACAAGGCTGACTTTGAGGTGTTTTGATGGATTTTTCAGATCCGTTGAGGGCTACTTTTGAGGTTGTTTTGGGGTGTGAGAGAGGGCTGTTATGAAGGCTTTTTTACTAGCTTGTTTTGGGGCTTTACGAACGTTTTCTTTTGTTGGGTGTTTTTTGGTTATTATAGGGGCTAGAGAGGAAGCGAGTGAGTGTGATAGAGGCTCGGGTCCGGTGGCTTCGAAGGCGTTGCCAATAGGTTGGCGAGAGGAAGAGAGCACGTGTGGTAGCTATGGGCGTGTGGAGGCGGTATGGAGGCGTGGAAGGTTGGCGAGAGGTGAGGCTAGTATGGAGGTGTGGAAGGCTAGTGAGAGGTGAGAGAGCTGGTCGATGAGAGAGAGGCTTGTAGGATGAGGGAGAAAAAGCTGTATCAGTTGGGTCTTTTTAGGGTGCTAGTGAACGGTAGAATGTATCAAAAAATGCATGGCAATCTTATATGTTTAGAGTTTTTGAAAAAAATCCACTTGTGGTCCTTGATTTTCTTCCATGCATTTATTTGGGGGTTTAATTTGTTTTTTTTGTGTTTTAATTTAAGCCTCCTCTTACCAATAATTGGGACTTTTTATTTTAATTGGTTCCAATTGTATCCCTTCTCATTTTAATTACGGGGTTTGAAGCTTTGATTTTTTTTTTTCAATTGGGCCCTCAATTGTCTTTTTAATTATTTTTAACTTTTTATTTTTTTCAATTGACCCCCCTTTTCTAGAATTAATCTAAGCTAACTATTCTTTTTTTTTTTTATTGCATTTTTTTTGTTTGTATTTTTGTGATAATAAAAAATAAATAAATAAAAAGAAAAAGGAAACCAAAAATTAGGTGATAACATAGATTATTTAAATCGAATATTTTTTACTTATTTATGCATTTTTATTTCCTACATTAATTTAGATTTAATTTTTAGATGCTTTGGAATTTATTTAGTTAACTTTAATTTTTAGAATTTATTCTAAGTAATTAGGCTAGGTAATTAATTGATGAATGAATTATTGAGTCTCCTAATTTTAGGGATCGATGACGATTCTTCTTCAATAAACAATAAATATAAAAATAATAAATAAAAATAACAACGCCAAAAACAATAAAAAAATTTTAAAAAATTCAGATAAAAATTTAATAAAAATTTAATTTTTTAATAAAGTCTCCTATTTAATAGAGACTCGTTGTCGACAAAAAAATAAAAATAAAATCAAAATCAAAATTCTTAGCAAAGCCTCGCTATCCGATAGGGACTCGTTGTTAGTAAAAAAAGAAATAAAACAAATTAAAATCCTTAACAAAGTCTCCTATCTAATAGGGATGTTAGCAAAAAAAAAAAAAAATTATCATTTTAATAATCAAAATGTTATCGGATACATTGGTTATGTTAAGACTTAAAGTTGATTCGGTATTTGGACCGATGTGCCTCTTGAAGAAGGAGTTCGACGATTGGTTTAATACGATGCCACGATCAAAAATAAAAAACTTAATTTGGCTTACAAAATTAGATTTTAAATAAAAAAAATAATTAGGTACAAATAAAACTCCTTAGAAGATGAATTTTGGGAATTTTTTTGGATGATTGATGTATTCGTAAAAGTGTAACCAACTCCTTATCTTGTAATCTCCGGACCAATGCTATTTTTAGGTTCCTAGTCTTACAATACTAGATGACAACTATTTAATTTAATAATAACTCATATCCTCGGAGATCATAAATAATCATAAAGATATATTTTTTAAATAATATATTTTTAGGAGTCCGATCGATATCGGGTAGCAACAACCATTATCATGGATGGTGGCATAAGAATTGAAAGGTTGGATATTGGTTCAATCTTTCATTAACTTTTTTTAGTATTTTGTAATTCCTTTTCTAATCCTAAAATCTATAAATATGATTATTTGTTCATTAGTTGAGTAAGTGTTTTTGTAGAATTGAGAGAGTTGCTTTAAGTTACTATAACTTTTATTCGTTTTACTTAATAGTGAAATTATTTTTTCGTAATCTTTCTTTTCAATTCTATTAATGTTACCATTTTTTTATATCAAAAAGTATATATAAACTGTATATAAGAATTTTTTTACCTTATCTTTGAAACCCTTAGTAATGGAAATACACAGTAATATCTATCTTTATAATACTAAATATGTAAATTAACAACTCTCCGAAATCTTTAGCAATAGAAGGACACAAGAATGTCTATTTTTGTAATGCTAGATTTGTAAATTAACAACTCTTTGAAATTTTTAACTTTAATTCGATTTCCACTCATATAAAACTTATTTGTGTAATAAATGGGAATCTAAATAATCGAATAATCAATCCAATAACTATGATTATTTTGTTCATTGGACGAAAAGAAATTTATTTTTCTTGATTCAATTTAAAACTTGAAAAAAGAGAAGAATCACATTTAAAAAAAAAAGAATTAAATAATTATGGTGTATAATATCAAATAAAAACATTTGAACAAATTCATATGACATGGAAAAATCTCAAATTTTTAACTTTAATTTGATTTTCACACAGTATAAAATTTATTTGTGTAACAGTTGGGAATATAAATAATCGAATTCTCAATCAAATAATTATGACTGTTTTGTTCATCGGGCAAAAAAATTATTTTTATGGATTCAATTTAAAACTTCAATAAAAGAAAAGAATCACATTTGAAAAAAAGAATTAAATAATAATGGAGTATAATATCATATAAAAACATTTGAAAAAATTCATATGACATGGAAAAAAAATCTCAAACATGAAAAGATTTGGTACGGTATAGTACTGAAAATTCAGCACTACGGTGGTGATGGAGTTTTAGCCGCTAGTCTGTGCGTGTAAAAACAGACCAAGGAATACTTACTTTTAAGCTGCCCAAATATTGGGCTGGGCTTATTATATTATCGAAACCTTGACAGGAAAGCAATCCTTCCTGAAACTCTCAAGACCAGTTTAATTTGACTGGAATGGTCCAGGCTCTTGAAGCTGCCAACGCTTTGGAGTTCCAAGTTGGCCCAGTTATCTTTTATAGGGTTCTTAAGGTAGGCAAAGGGCAATTGAATGGATCCCTGTGGTTGCTTCAAGGTAAAATGACAAAAATTAAGAAAGGGAAAAAAAAACTAAAATAATTGATATATTTAATATTTATTTACTGTTGTTTTAGATTTAGATTCATTATTCATCATGTTGCTTGATTTTCCGCCCTTGGCTTTTTGGTAATTTCCTTTTTGCTATTCGGTGAATTTGAGAAACTCTATTTTTACTCTTGATTAATTCTTCTTTTAATTTTCTTTTTAGGCCTTTTTTTCATTTTCTTCTTCTTTTTTTTTAAAAAAAGATTGAGCATTTAATGCTCATGCCTTCTTTCAATGTGTTTTTTTTCTTATTTTCGACAGGGAAGCCAAAGCCACTTGCTATTCAAGAGTAATTATAAATCGGTCTCTTTTTCTTCGAGAAGCAAATTAATTAGTTCATTTGATTCAAAAACTAATTTTTTGTCCTTTTTGTTATTTCAATGTTTTTATTTTTTTATTTTTTTGTCTTAAGAAATAGAGAAAGATAAAAAAAATAAGTAAAAATATGAAAAAAAGATATTTTATAAAATAAAAAATAAATTATTCATGGTCAAAACTAATTAAAAAAATTAAATAATTTATTTTTGAAACCAAAAGAATTAATGAATTCATTTCTCAAAACGAGATGAAGTAATTTACAATTTAAGAATCTCTTTCATTGTAAATTAAAAAGCAAAATTTATGAGAACCAATCCTGTAATAGTTTTTATTTTAATTTATTAACTTTAATATATTCCATACAACTTAGATTTGTTTTTTAATTTTTGTTTATCCTATATACTCTGAATCTACTAATTATGGTCATAATATATATATATATATATATATATATATAAAACATCATTAGTTGCTTTGGTTCAAAAAAATTTTGTTATCCATTTTGTGATTTCAATGTTTTTATTTTTTGTTTTAAGAAATAGAGAAAGAATAAAAAAATATGAAAAAAAGACATTTTATAAAATAAAAAATAAATTATTTGTGGTCATCATTGATTAAAAAATTAAAAAATTTATTTTTGAAATCAAAAGAATTAATTAATTCTTTTCTCAAAATGAGATAAATTAATTTATAATTTAATTTGCAATTCAAGAATCTCTTTTATCATAAATCAAGAAGTAAAATTTATGAAACCAAGTTTGTAGTAGTTTTTATTTCAATTTATTGACTTTAGTATATTCTATAAAACTTAGATGATATAATAATAATAATAATAATAATAATTATTATTATTATTATTTTTTGTTGAAAATTAATTATGTATCTACATATATATCACCATCGAGTCTCTTTGGTTTAAAAACTAATTTTTTTGTCCATTTTACCATTTCAATATTTTTATTTTTTGTTTTGAGAAATAAAGAAAGAATAAAAAAAATGAAAAAAAAGAAATTTTATAAAATAAAAAAATTATTCGTGGTCAACACTAATTAAAAAATTAAAAAATTTATTTTTGAAACCAAAATAATTAATTAATTCATTTTTCAAAACAAGATGAACTAATTTATAATTTAATTTGTAATTCAAGAATCTCTTCCATCACAAATTAAGAAGTAAATATATGAAAACCAATTTTGTAGTAGTTTTTATTTCAATTTATTGACTTTAATATATTCTATACAACTGTTAGTGTAGGTGCCCAAGATCTAACCATATTTAAATCGGTTTGAGTTATTGTATTAATGCATCATTTTTTTTATTAATAATAAAGAAGTCTTTCTATCAATTCTTATGTTTTATGTTTATTTATTTAATAGAATTAGATAGAAGTTCTTATGATATACATTTGCATTAGTGGTTGATCAAAAAATATAAGACAAACACTAATGCACATAAATGATATCATTAAATGTTTCAAGTTGTAGCATTATCAATAATGGACATTGACAAGATGCGGTTAGACTTGTGAGTGTTATACTCATGCTATATGATAGCAATAAAAAATCTCACATCTATTGATACGATGATGCTAAAACAAGTACTTAGGTGATTCATATTAGAGAGCATATTACTTGGACTTTATTCATTATGAGAACCTATTTGGTTTATTTTATGAGAATCTCAAACGAGATGGGTACAACTGATCATTAGATTTGAAGTCATTATGGTTATCTCATTGGTGGATTTATGTACTTTGACATTTGTTTCAATAGACCCGGTAAAAGGTTGTAAGTAAGTGATTTGTTGGGTACACTAAGAATCTAATTGAGGTAGGTGAATGATTAAAATAGGACATGTCATTCCTTGTATGCTAAAAAAGTTATCAT